TTTCTGCTTGGTAGGGCACAGTGAAAAAGCATTCTTGACAGAGCATCTTTGGGTCGCAACTTGCCTTCCCTTCAGCCTTCAATATATATATTAACTTAGCTTTGTCACGCCTGGACCCCTGAAGCATAATTGGGGCTCCTGGCATCGCTACTAGGATCAAGGACGCTACTATGACTGCGTGATCATGCCGCCATCCAAAACTACAGACTTGAGTCTTGAGGGCTGTCACTGTGATATGAGGCACGGCCACGAAGATTGGACCTCTCAAGATCAATCTCGTCGAGAAAGGGACCTGGATCGCGCACGAGCGTTGGGGGCGCCAGTGGACGACAAGGGTTTGTTCAAGGATGCCACCGAGTTCCTGGCAATCCACTTCCAGCGCTTTGCATTTTGGCGGAAAGAAAAAACTTCATTACATTCACCCACCATCTTGCCCAATTAGTGCCAACTAGCGTTTGTCCATTTCTGTGCATGAGCTACTAGAGTTGAGTTGGCAGTGGGCAGTGTGTTGTTTTGTTTTTTGCCGACCGGATTGATATTCTCACCCGCAAGGTAAAGCAGAAAGAGACGGAGACCGTGGAATCCTTGGAACAGCTTCTTGAGCACGAAATGGAAAAGATGGAGGCGCAGCAGCAGCAGCAGGATTCCACTCGGAAGCGCTTCGTGCCTGCGTCTTGAAATTAATTCAACTTGTTGTTGGCCCAGTGTTGGCCCTGGCTTTTGCAGACTGACTGTAGTGAGTTGAAAAAATCAACAGTTTCAACTTACTAAATTGAGGCAGGGCCGACAAGAAGGCGAAGTTGGTTCCGCTGCCTTCGAGTGACGCCGAAGCTGCCCAGCCCAGTGCCGCCAAAAGGGCTAAGCTGGATGCTGGCAAGGGACAAACCAAGATCAAATTTTAAGATTTGATTTGAGCGAGTTGCAGCTGTGACGGCTGTGAAGTATAGTTTGGGGTTTGGACCCGTGCGATCCAACTGCAGGGTCCAGTGGGGTGGATTCGGTCAAAATGATCGAACGACATGGGGAGAAACCTCAAATCGAGATGCGAGAAAAGTTTGCTGCTGCACCTTTTCCTGGCCACCCAAACGGTAAAATTTGCACGCTCCGTCGGAAACGCATTTTCTCGTGAAATTTAACAACACCAACATACGAATTCTATTCTTTCATACCAAACTTATCCCAAAGCCGCCCGGCTTGCTTCTCTGCTCCCTCCATCACCATTACATACGCCCCCCCGCATCCGCGGCACCGCTGACTTGGCAAGCTGCCGGCCATGTGTCTTGTGCCACGACGCCCGCCAGAAAAAGAGACACTTGCCTGACGGCTGCTGGCTTTTGTCCCCCCCCTTCTCAGGTATCTGCGGAATTCATTTGTTCTTCCTCCAAAATGACAGCACGCTGTCAGCACGCTTACACTCACTAATTAGACGTGCTGTAGTCAATCCCGGCAAATGTGTATGTTGTGCAGAGAGAGCAGGAGAGCAAATGTGGGTCCCACGCTAGTCATTTCAACTGTTCCCTGGCACATCTTTAGGGGTGTGGTGGACCAGGGTGTTGACTGAAGCCAACTTCGTGCTAGTAGATTGCCCCTAGGCGGCGCCCGCATGTCCCCAGGGGGCTTCTAGTATGGTCAGCCATCCAAGACAATAGAGTTTGGCATAGGCTGGTCAATAATGTTGCTATGGCAAACGTTATATATATATATATATAAGTGTTTGGGGGTCAGCTATGAGGTGTTTTGTCGGTCGGGTTGCAATTGTGCCTCAGCAGAGTGCAAGTTATTAAACATTTTTCCCACCGCTCGAACTCAGACGGTATTTCCCCTTCGCTAACGCTGATGTCGCCTTCCAACTTCCATAAGATGCAGACCTTTCTGCGTGTGACAAACACATGCCATTGCCTTGTAATCATGACCTACACCAACATACAACGTACCGCACTTCTCTTTCACTACTTTCTCTTTCATACCAAACTTATCCCAAAGCCGCCCGGCTTGCTTCTCTGCTCCCTCCATGACCATTACATACGCCCCCCCGCATCCGCGGCACCGCTGACTTGGCAAGCTGCCGGCCATGTGTCTTGTGCCACGACGCCCGCCAGAAAAAGAGACACTTGCCTGGCGGCTGCTGGCTTTTGTCCCCCCCTTCTCAGGTATCTGCGGAATTCATTTGTTCTTCCTCCAAAACAACAGCACGCTGTCAGCACGCTTACACTCACTAATTAGACGTGCTGTAGTCAATCCCGGCAAATGTGTATGTTGTGCAGAGAGAGCAGGAGAGCAAATGTGGGTCCCATGCTAGTCATTTCAACTGTTCCCTGGCACATCTTACATCTTGGGAACCCAAGACCCAAATGCTTTTCCGCAACAGACACGTCTGCAAGTATTAAAACGTGACATGTTAAGAGATGTGATGATCGTTGTTGATGAATGGGATGCTGTTGGAAAAATCAATCTGATTATTTCTACGACTACTACTACCACCACCAATGGATACCTGGATAAGGCCCGGAAGTGGTGAACTGACATCTGAGGAAATGCTGCACTTTTACCCACTTCCTCGTCCACCGAGGCCATGGCAATGGCGGCCATCATGGAAAACCAGGCACTCCAGATTTGCGGCGGATTCTGTGCGAAAAGAGATGATCTACTGTAAGTTATATCGACTTCGAAACTCTACCATTCAATTTGAGTTCTTCTGAGAGAGTACAGAGTATATACCAAATTCTTGACCCGACCGTCAGTCCTGGTTGGAGCCTGGAGCCAAAATAGACCTGACATTTGGACACTTAAATGACATGTTGAGGGCACACATGGGCACACTGTTTGCAGTTTGCAAGCTCCTTGCAATCACAAACTATCCTATAATACTAAGTTATATCAGAAATCATCCTAAATTATTGTAAGATATAATAGAGGAGTTTCAGACTTCAGGCCGAAGGACGTGTCAACCAGAAGTAAAGCTTAGAACATAGGCAGCTAGCGCAGGGAGATGATCTCATATGCCTCAGAAGGTTTAGTCGGTTCTGCAATGGAGCCCTGTTCCACGGATCCAAGTTGCCTACCCAGTCAGTGGGTAACCTTTAACCCTTTGGAGATTGGTTTCCCTACTACATTGGCAGAACAGGTGGAAAAAGGTATTAATTCGTTTTTTGTTGGGGTTCTTCTTCTCACTCTTTTCTTTCACTGTGTCGACCAGAGTGTCAGCAGTGAAGCTGTGTAACAATCACAGCTAGATCGATGAACAGGTGGACAAAAATTAACCTCTATTTGAGTCAGGGTGATTGCGGGTCATTTCTCTCAATTTCCTTCAAGTTGGTGATTGGATATTATGGTCCAAATGTTGGTGTCGGAGTGTTTTTAGAATTGAGCATGTTCATGTGCACCGTTGCAACCAAAGGCAACAACATCATAGAAATGGTGTGCAATTGCAATCAAGACAGACATCAAAGCAACAAGGGATATCAAGGTTTAGCATTTTGTGTGGATTTGCGATTTGACGCATGGGCCATGGCAGGTTGAAGAAATGAGAAAAATGCTGAACAAGTTTAAGGCAAGACTTTCAGAAGTCTACAGGACGTGTCAACACACCATTGGTGCTTACGATTTTGACAGTCATGTACAGTCATGTGCAGTACATCACGAGCAATGTCAAGCTTAAACGTTCTGGCCGAGAGCATACATCAAATCTGTGCTGAAAAAGCATTTGCAGCAAAACCAGACCTGTTTGGGAAATCTTGAAGCTGCTTCTCCCATCTCCACCTTAGGTTTGTTCCGGCACCGGAAACGCAGAGCATGCTGGTGCCACCAGGGCTTGGACTAATCAATAGCCGTTGTTCTTGAAATCTCCACACTCCCGGATTTGCTTTGGCAGCAATATGAAGGCCAACTCTTCTTGGCAGCAATGCCATTTGAAAGAATATGATGTGAAATGTGGAACAGTTCTTCCTGCAGTGCCTTTTATATATAAATATCCTTTTGTTTCTTTTGAAGCCTTTCTAAAATTTCAAGCTGCGCAGACAACAATGACCCATGCACAGGTACTTTGCCAGGTCATGCAGACATCTTAATTTTTGGTCCCAGCGGCAGGCCTTGGATGCGGAATCGTGCAGAGATTAATAGCGATGGCCTCCAACCTAATAGCATAAGTGTTTTAGCCTTAGTTTAATTCAACTCACCCTTGGGCTTTATGACTAGAATGATAGTATATACTTGCGACTGGAAAGCAACAAGTCAAGATGGTGGGGAGTTTATGTTTTCAGCCAGCAGATCCGTTTGTTGTCAATGCAATCGCTCTATATAGTTTTGTGCAGGGCCTTCAAAGCACCCAACCCTTTCCCCACAAATGAACTCCGCTAACTTCTCTTGGCAAACTCCTGCAGTGGGAAGAGCAGCTTGATTCGCACCTTCTACATGGCGCTACACAAGACTCAGCAGGCACTGGTGTGGAAATGTTAGTATCCCATCAAATGCTTGCTGCTGAAGCATGGGCCCTCTCTCTCGTAGGTGTGTGGTTTTTCCCACGATGTCACAATGTCAACCTAGCGCTCTCGTTGTGACTGACTTTCCCTGTACCTAAAAGCAACACGGCATCAAGTCGCCCTGGCCGTACAGGTTCCACCAGACTTCGCGGAGAGGCCTTACAGATTTATTGTCCTTGCAGTTTCCAAGTAGCTAAAAGCATGTGATTTGTGCAGGATTATCGTCAAGGATACTGCTATGAACGAGGGGACCTTGAAGTATGTCTCAGCGGTATTGTGCCAAGAAACTGCTTCGAAGACAACCGATGACCGATGACATAGAATCGTAGAACATGGCATGTTTGCTATGCGAGCATTCAGCAAGACAAGAGCTACACAACGACCGTTGAGGTCATCAAGCCAGCAAAGTTGGACCATCGTGGCAATATTTTATCGCAGGGCACCCGAGCGAGAGCGTCAAACACTTCTGATGGCCAGCATTCAACGATTTTCAGTCCAGATTGAGAGGGTTCCGGAAGCAACGTGTTGTCATGTGTCTATGATTCTTTTGTGTCTTGCCCTATATATAATATTGGAAAACACAATCCATTCCGCTTCATGTACGTATGCAGGCCCTCTGAAGCTAGGCTCAAAAAGGCTCGCATGGTAGCGGAGCCGTGACGGTCATTGCAGTGCGCTCTGACCCGAGCTCCAGAGCCTTTGAGTAGAGGCCAGGACCCCAGCCTCTTCGGGCCCCGTCTTGAGCGCGCGCCCGCGCTGAGCCACCCATTTTAGTGTAGCAGGTTCTCGCCCTCATTGCTTGTGGGTATTTGACCCTGGAGAGCGGAGACCATCGCCTACTACAAGATTGCCCTTTTGCTTGACTCCAAGGAAGTTGGAAAGGTTTTGGAGAAGCTCCTATTTGGTTGAGCCTAAGGAGGTTGAAGTAATCCTGCACGGCAAGGTTGGAGCATGGATGGATCAGGGGGAGTTGGAGTTGACCTCACTAGCTTCCCCGAGCTGACTCAAGCCCTGATTGCAACAGCTCAGGCGGCTACCCAAGCCGTACAGGCAGCCTCAGCAGCAGCAGCTGCTACAGGAGTTCAAGCTGGAGGAGAAAGCTCAGAAGCAAGTAAGAAGGACCTGGCCAAACTAATACCTCGTCCAGGTGTGTTCAACCCCTCCGACCGGGAGCAGGAGATCCTACAATGGAGAGACTGGTACTGGTGCCTGAAACAGTATTTGGTGGTGGTCGACAGTGAGTTCCAGTCAGAGTTGGAGAAGATTGAAAAGGACCTCACGGTTGAGACCGAATGGGACCTCATGGATTCCAAGGAGCAGCAGAGGAGCAGGTTCCTGTACTCCTTGCTTGGATCCCTCATCCAAGGTCGGTTGATCGGGCTGATCAAGAATGTGGACAACTTCAACGGGCACGAAGCCCTCAGGCAGCTTCTAGTGAACTGTCAGCCTCAAGCCCGCAATAGGACGATGAGCTTGTTGCAAGGGACCATGGCGTATCCCAACTTCAACATGAAGACCAGCATCCTCCCGCAGATCCTAAAGTTGGAAGAACACTTCAACCAGTACGAGAAACTTGGAGGAAAGCTGACTCCTGACCTGCGCTCAGCGGTTTTGTTGAGGGTGATCACTGGGCCACTCAAGATCCATTTGAACATGACGTTGAATGAAGGAAGCTCTTACCAGAAGATCAGGGAGGCAGTCCTTGCCTTCGACACGGCAAATACAAAATGGAATGAAAGTGCAGAATTGAGCTTCACTTCAACGACGAGCCCAATACAATTCAGTGCAGACCCCAGTGGACTCGCTCCTATGGAGATCGACCGGGTGCAGAAGGGAGATGGTAAAAGCAAGGGCATGAAGGGCAAAGGTGGCAAAGATGGTAAGGGCAAGAGCAAAGGTGGCAAAGAGGACAAAGGCAAGGGCAAGGGGAAAGGAAAGCCTCTTGGTGGAAAACCTGATGGAAAAGGGAAAGCCAGCAAAGAGCAGAAAGGCAAAGGAAAGGGAGTTGGTGATACCTGTTGGACGTGCGGACGCCCTGGACACCACTCGAAGGATTGCTGGCGAGTCAGGCAAGTTGAGGCGCCCCCTAGCCACTCAGGAGGGTCATCGAGTCAGACCACAACCTCTCCATCAACGACCTTGAGCACGACTAGTGGAGGAGAGAGTGGTGTGACCAAGGCAATTCGACGTGTTTCACAGCCTGTGGTTTTCGACCTTCGAGGAAGTGTGGAGGAAGAGGCAGGCTCAATTCGAGTTTTGACAGCTGGTACTGAGGGCATTGGAGGTGAGAGGAAGAAGGTGGAGTTCTTCAACATGGATGTGGATGACTACAATGAGCTAGCCAAGATGGGAGGACTGTCCATCAAGATGGTTGGACAGCGGAGTGAGGAGCTTGAAAGGGAGAAGGTTGAGGAAGAGGTCACCATTATTGTGGACTCGGGTGCAGACGCTTCGTTGTTCCCTGGCTTCATGCTGAGGAAAGGAGAACGCATCCGAGGCGGTGGACCTCTCCTGCAGGATGCCCAAGGCACTCAGATCAAGACCTTTGGGCATAGAGATGTGAGCATCACCCTTCAAGCTGAGGATGACCGAGAAGTCATCTTGAAGGAGCGTGTCACCTTCAGTGATGTGGTGGCACAACCCATCTTGTCATTTGGCCATCTTCTACGAGCAGGATGGTCGATTGATGCGAAGGAGCATTGCATGTACAATGGCAGTGTTCGAGTGCCGCTGACGTTTCAGAACAACAGTCTGGTGGTGAAGGGCTCGGGCCCTCGTGGAAGCTGGATGTGTTCGCACGTTGAAGGCGGTGCTGAGTGACAAGTTGAAGAGCATCGTGGATGGTTCCATTGGATGGAGAAAGGTGGGTGACGTGTGGATTGGTTACCACCTGCCTTGAGGGAACAGTTAGAGGGACTGTGCAGGTCCACCCTGGTTGAGAGAGATGGTCTATGGGAGCTAGTCGAGATGACAGAACCTATGGACGGCCTTGAGGACCAGGAAGCCGAGATTGAAGAGCTGAAAGGGGTTGGAAGATCCAGAGTGCTGAGCTTTGTGGCACATTACAATGTCCCGCAGAGCCCTGAGGACCTTGGCTTTTGACATGGGTCCATTTGAGTTCAGTTCGCACGGACTCAAGGCTGCAGTGCATGAGGAGTTGGCCCTACCAGAGGCCGACGATGAAGATGATGGCTTTGAGGGTGCAGAGGTGCCTATGGCCATTGGAGAATTTGAAGGTGGAGCTGATCTTGATGACCAGGAAGTGAAGTTTGAGGTCGGCATCCCAATTCCCGACCGAATTCGAGTCAATGACATTGAGCTCACAACCGAAAGCCCGCTGAGAGCACTCCGAGCAGCATGCGCATTCTACAAGATCGGACAAAGTGGAGGAAAGGCAAAATGCTTCAAGAGACTGGTTGAACATCAAGGTACTTTGGAGTTGATGAGAGCTAGAGACCTGACCAGAAGTGCAGAAGCAGCTTTAGCCAGAAGGCCCATTGAGCAGAAGATTGCCAAGGCTCCAAGCAAGGAGGAGCAAAGATTACATGATCTCACACATCTTCCTTACGCCTCTTGGTGTGAGAGCTGCGTGAAACATCGAGCACGGCCAGACCAGCGCAGGAGATTTGGTCAAGCTCGGGAAGCAGGGCCAGCTATCTCGTTCGACTTTGCCTTCACGCATGCTAGCGGGATCGGGCCACTAGGATCCCCGGAAGATGATGATGGTGCTCAGCTGGGTGTGGCTGATGATGAGTCGGGAGCATTATGGCTGATTGCTGTCTGCGCAGAAACAGGATATGTGTTGGGTTTGCCCTTGAAAGCAAAGTCCCAATTGAATCTCATTGCTCACGAGTTGCTTTCCTTCACCCAGGTTCTTGGCCATGAGGAGGTCACCTACTACTCTGACAACGAGCCGACACTGAGACAGGTGTCCCGCCTTTTGGTCCAAGCGAGAGGAGCAATGGGGTTGAAGACCAAAATGAGGACAACCAAAATCTATGACCACGCCGGCAACTCCCTGGTTGAGAATGCCATCCAACGAGTTCGTTCAGTGGCAGCAACTTTGATGGAGAACGTCGCCAAGCGCACAGGATTACGCTTCAATGGTCAACATCCTTTGTGGACTTGGGCCTGTCGACACAGTGCATGGCTTCTCAATCGTTACCAACCGGTACAAGGAGCAACGAGCTATGAGCTGGTGCATGGAAGACCCTACAAAGGAAAGCTTTGCCAGTATGGGGAGGTTGTCTTCGCCTATACGAGACCAAAACAGGGATTCAAGGCAGACCCACGCTGGAAGGTTGGCATTTGCTTAGGCAAGAGTGAACTGCAGGACGCTTGGGTCATTGGTGATGGGTCAAGAGTTTTCTTGAGTAAGTCAGTCAGTGCGACGAGTTGAGGATTCCTGGCAACGATATCTCCCGTGTTTCCAAGGCTTTGCAGCTTACAGCTGGGAATACCAGACAAATTTTGGTGGAAGGATTGTGCCATCAAAGAGACTGGTTGTACTTGAAGGACCAAAGGTGGGTTTCATGCTCCCTGGAGTTCAAGATGCAGTGCTCGCCTATGCAAGGTCCTATGCAGGAAAGCTGGAAGCACAACGAGAAGAAGAGGAGAAGGAAGAGAAATCCAGTGGAGAGATGGTTGAGCAGGAGGAGACCTTGAGGTTGGCTGAAGACAAGAGGAAAAGTGTGGTGGAGGATCAGGAGCTGGGTCTTCCCACGGTGATGGCCCCAGGTGTGGATATTCCTCACGCTTCAGTGGTGGATGAAGAGAAGAATCAGTTAGGTCCGTCAAGACCAAGTGCATTCTCGTTGCTGGACTCCCCATCGACACCAAGGTCTACAGCCCAGAAAGTGGGACAACCGGCAGAAAGCCCAATTCCAGAGGCCAAGAAGCTTAAGCCAACCATAGAGAAGTTGACCCATGGACATGAAGGAGTAGATCCAGATCCGAAGAGGGCAAAGCCAGATCCAACAATCCAACATGAGAGAAGGGTGACTGCTACGCAGGTTGGGACCGATGTCTTCTACCATATGGACTCCATTATCGGTGAGGAGGAGTTGGTAGCATGGCAGGATGAGACCCATGATCAGGCTTTGGATGAGCTGCCTGATGCTTTGTGGTCCCATGCCCCTCTGGACAGAGTGCCTCCAGAACCGCCGAAGTGGATTGAGGACATTGCTGATGCTGTGGAAGAAGCAAGACTTCAGAAGCTTGGAGTGTTGAGCAGAATGGACAAATTTGATGGTCAGTCACAAAACACTGACAACCCGGTTCGTGAGAGATTGGAGAGCAAAGCACCGTGACAAAGAAGGAAGTGGGCCGAAGCAGTGGTTAAGGAGATCAAGACTGGTGGCTCGTGAGTATGCCACGGGCAAGAGGGATGACATCCATGCCCCGGCGACAGGTGGACAGGCTCTACGCTTGCTTCCTCTCATGTACCTTGGGAAGAAGGCGGAGGAGGCAATGGGAGGAGAAAAGACCATCCTGGGAAGCCTGGACGTGAAGGATGCATTCCTACAAGTCAAACAAGAAGTTCCAACACAGGTTACCACTGGACAAAGACAAATAATTGGGCACTTCGAAGTTCTCAGAAATCTTCCGGGACAAAGAATTGGCGCCAAAGCTTGGTTCGACCACTTGACTGAGTGGCTGAAGGGCAAGGACTTCAAGTTTTGTCCAGAAAATCCATGTCTGGGCAAGGCACCGTCTATGTGCGTTCTCATTCATGTCGACGACATCATGTTTGTTGGCAACAAGGACTATGTGCTGCATGAGTTCATTCCTGAAATGAAGAAGGTTTTTGACATTTCGGAGCAACATCTTGAGGAAGACGGCAGCAGCTTTCAGTTCTTGAGGAGGACCTTTGAAAAGGTAGAGAGTGGACTTAAGGTTCATCCTGGAAAGTATGCAGAGAACATGGTGGAGGCCTACGAGAGCAAAATGGGGAAAGCAAAGATTCAGAAACTTCCCTGTGGTCCAGAGATCCTTGAACCGGATGGGACAACACTCCTGGGATATGAGCTTGCAAGTCTCTACAGATCTTTGGTTGGTTGCGGCATTTATTTGTCGCAGGAGAGGTTGAATGTTTCTTACACAGTGAAGGAACTAGCATCCACAATGTCCTGCCCGACAGCAGCAAGTTTGAGAAAACTAGGCAAGCTGATCGGATACTTGAAGTACACAATGGGTCAGCACAGCTTGCTAGAGCTGAATGAACCAGGACACGGATTGGTGCATCAAAGCTTCGAGACTCGTTGGATTTTGGAAACATTTTCCGATAGTGATTGGTCAGGAGCAAAAGGGCATCGACGTTCGACAAGTGCAGCAATCCACATGGTCAATGGAGTGGTAGTAGCTTCATCCTCGCGTGGACAAAAGTCAGTTAGCCTGAGCTCGGCAGAAGCAGAGTTGAATGCTTTGGTGAGCAGTGCAGCAGATGGTATCTACCTACGAAGATGCCTAAGTTTCCTGATAGAGGAGGAGGTGACACACTGCTGCATGGTTGACAATTCGGCTGCTCTACATCTCTGTCATCGAAAAGGACCAGGCAAGCTACGCCATGTTTCGGGCAAACTCTTGTGGATACAAGATGCTGTACTCCAGGAACAACTTAAAGTGATGCCAGTCGGAACGGTGAAGAATGTAGCTGACTTGGGAACGAAACCGCTCTCGAAGAACCGCATTAATCTGATCCTGAATTGGTGTAATGTCTACAACGGGCATGGAGAGAAGATTGGTCAAGAAGAGCGTGTGAGAAGTGAGAATGAAGAGGTCAGCAAGTCCAGAATCAACAAGCTGGCCAAGTTGCTCAATCGCATTTTGCTTTTGGAGGGTCTTGGGCAAGTGGCTGGAGAAGGTGTTGATCCCGAAGCCCAATGTGGCATGACACCAACAGTTGGGACGAACCCTACAACATGGTGGACTATGTGGGTGATAGCGATCTTCCTGGTGATGATGGTTGGAGGCTTAGCCTTTGCAGGCTATAAGTTATGGCAAAGACTTCAAAAGGTCTTGGAAGATCTTGAGGAAATGAAAGAAGCCCAGCGAGTGGATGGAATGATGATTGATGCTTTCGAGCATGAGAGAAAGGAGGAAATGGCAGCCATGGGAAGCTTGGCCCAGAAGATTCATCGTGGCCTAGTCAAGGCCAGTGGATATGTGGATGAGGATGAGTTCGAAGATGGAGAGTGGCAGCACTGGGACTATATCCAGAAGTCCAACCGAAAGCTTGATTTCCTGAAGCTCAAACAAGAAGCTCAATCCTACTTGCTTCAGGAGCTCGACAAGAAACAAGCTGAAACTTCCGGAGAACAAACGGATGTTGCCATGTCAGAAGAAGAGGAAGAACTCCAACCAGGTGACACTGCAACAGTGCGGCTGGAAAGTGGAGAAGTGGTGAATATTCCCATGGAGTACCTTGAACCTCGAGAACCAGAGAGCGAAGCAGAAGGAGATGGAAGCATGAATGCTCGTGTGCAAAGTGAGAGGCGAACGGTTGATGAAGTGATGCATGATAGGTCAATGACCTACGATGCCAAAAAGGCACGCATTTTGAGTTTCACCTTTCAAGAGCTGGGAGATTTGAATTCACCAGCCGGAAGGTCAGGAATGAGGGCAAAGAAGCATCTACAAGCCCTAGAGGCAAGATGGTGGGACAACCAGGAAGGGAAAAGAAATGTTGAAGACCCAAAGATCTTTAAGGAGATGGAAAGGCACTATCCCTTCCTGGACAGCCCATCGCTCAATTTCTAAGGTGGTGTGATTGGGCACAACGACTAAGCCCAACACACCAAGGAGGAGTGGAAAACACAATCCATTCCGCTTCATGTACGCATGCAGGCCCTCTGAAGCTAGGCTCAAAAAGGCTCGCAAATATATATATATATATGTCATTGCTTTTGGAAGAAGAGTCCATTCTCGCTTGGAAGTCATTGAGATGAGACCAGCCTGCCACACCAAGGTTTCAAGACGATGTATTTGATTTGACAGAGTGTGTTCAAAAAGGGTGTGTAGCATCCGCTCTCAATTATTTGTTCCTAGGTCTTCCATTATGTGCCACGACACACGGGGGCAGATTTGGATGGATGAGTCTTGGCACAAATACGGAAACAAACCAGCACCTGTCTCTATATAATTGCGCACAAAGTATCATGAATCTTTTGTAATTAGAGGTCTTATTTTGTTCAGTGAAAGTTTGCCAGGAACGGGAGCAGAAGCAGCTCAGTGTAATCATGGTGTGGGCCTGTGGCATTTTGGAGGTTGCTGTAGCTGCGCATTGGGCCTGATGTTGCATTGCAGCCACCTACAAAGGTAAAAGCTTTGACATCGTCTTCGATCTGGGTACTGAGGATGGCCATGTCAAAGACGATTCCATGGTACAACAGCGGAACTACAGGCGCTTGCATTCCCTATGGTGTGTAAAGAGCATTTGAGTCTAGGTTACCTGACACTCTGCAGGTATGCGAGAATGCTTTGGGAGTTTTGGAAAAGAGACTCTGAACTCTTTCCTCCTGAGGCCCGAGTGTTTTTGTTTTTGTTGCTTGTGTTTTTGCCTTTCCCCACTGGTTTTGCCCACCAACCGGTGTTGCCCGACTGTTAAATGCTGATATGCTGCAAAAACAAAGATGCACCTCCTTTCCAGCTTCCTGATGTACAACCATGGTGACCCCTCCAAGAACGGACATGGGTTGGTAGCAGAACGGATGTGGGTTGGATGTGAAAGTGTTTATATATATATAGAAACACTTCGAATCATTGATATTGTCATCTTGAGACGTTGACACACTGACGCACACACACATATATATAATTATATATAGCTATATATATATACTGTATGTACATACACTGTAGTTATACATACATATATTATATACTATGTATACACACTTGGGCCAAGAGCGCCTGGCAGATCTTGGCGAATGCCAAGGGCCTCCATAACCAGCCTCATGCGGCCTGGGTCTTGGGAGGGGTCAAAGGGTCATTCTTGACTATGGGAATGTCCGGAGCGTGAGCTCGTATGGAGCTCCTGGGTATGTAGAACATGGTTTGATTTGTAGAAAAACATCGGCTTTTCTGTTGAGCTACCTTCTTTTTGTAGTCGCTGCAAAAGCTTGTAAGAGACCTTGTATAGCTGCCAGCTGTTCTTGAATAAGGACATCCAATATTGCAATATTGGAATGTCATATCTCAACATTATCCAATGTCATTGTTGAGGTACTCTTTGTCTTTGATGGCTCTGTGGAAGAAATACCAGATGGAGAAGAGGTGCTGGCTTCCAAGAATGCTTGAACGCTCAAAAAATGATCAAAGCTTGAGAACTTCAGAACTAGGGGATAGTGAAGAGGGGGCCTTGCGCATGCAGTCTCTATGAATCACCGTTCTGTAGTCTTCCATGCAATTCGGGAACAGTACTGCGGTCTGTGTTTTCCACTGTATTCCCAAGAGCAAGTGTTCGATTGCTGTATTTGCTACGACCGAGTCAGGGAAATCTGCCACTTCAACAATTTTTGTGGCCAAATATTCTGGGGAGCAATTTGAGCAGATAAGCGATCGCTGACCAGCTGAAGACTCTTCTGTTTTGGTCACTGTGTCGAGACAAGCAACCACCAAGTCACCAAGGCAAACACAATCACACTTGTGATGAGCAGGGACGCCTATTCCAAGCCGGCAAACAAGCTTTAAAAGCACACAAATTGAACCAATTGCCAGCAAACCACCACTTTGAGCCTCAACACTGGCATGCGAGCAGAATCAAAGGCAATAGTGCATACAGTTACAGTGGGAGGAGCCAGACTGGGCAGATTTGGTGTTTCAGCAAGTGAAACAAGCAAGCCAGAGTAGCAAAGGTCCAGTTGCATGTTGGTCGATCAGTCCAGTTACGTAAATCCGAACGCCATGCAACGACCAGCCACTTGAGGGGTGTAGAGCGCAGAGGGAATCAAATGGAATCAATGTAACAGCTGACATATTGGTCAGTTCACAACACAAAGGGGTATATATATATATATGTCGATGTCAGTTGGTGCCAAGAGCTTAGGCCCGAAGTTCATATAAGGCCATCAACAGCTTGGATAGTCATCGAAGTTGCGGAAAAAAAACTCTACGTAGTGATTCGTGATATAAGCTATACAAGTATACAAGTATTTTATAGTTAATCTTGTAAAGAACATGCTGCAGGAGACCCGCTTCTACAGGGAAATCATCCAGATGTGCCGGGCGAAAGGCTACGCAAATCCTCAGGCCTCAAACAATCGTGACACCTGTTGGGCAATATTTTATTTGACAAGTACTTCGCACACTTTATCGCATACTGTATATAAGCCTGCCACGAACACAGACGCAAAAGAACGCCTTCGGCCAGGAGGATGCGTGTCAGGAGAATACATGTTACCCAACGTGCAGTTCTGCTCATGAAGAAAAGGAACAGTCACCGTGGGACGTGTTGAGATCAAACGACATCCTTTGGATAACTTCCAAGTTTGGAATCCATATACTAGGCGCCTTCCAGGCTTCTTAGAGAAGAGTCTGCCCAGGGGCCCAAGCAACATCCCAGCATATCCCAGCCGTGGCAACCGACGTATCGGGAGAACCTCCAGCAGCCACTGACAACTCCGGCCTCATGGTCCTTCACAGCTGATGCGCACATGTCTGACCTGTAGCCATGGGGGAGCCATGGGATCCCTTAGCTGATCCTGCAGACAGCGCGGGTTGCCAAATAGACCCGTTACCAAGCGGGCAAAGTGGCTTGCCCTTGCGGCCATCAGATGCAGGCCCTGCGGTTTGTCGAATCCGCATTGCATACGACGCTACGATTTGATACGGGTATCTGAAAGTCATTTTTTTTAATACACACGGCAATATATAAAACACATGTATTATTGTAGTTATATTATATTGATTCACTTGATTCACCTGAGGACCCGGAGTGTGATAACTATCATGCTATCAATGACACATTGTTTTTTTAATTTAGTGCGATCGTTTCCCATGTACATGTCTAGGCAAATCGAGCGGATATCTTAATGGCGTTGCCGGCAGTTATTCCCAACAGTTGGCCAGACATGTGACTACTATTATTCAGGGACTTTTCTGAGAGAGAGTTCATGATTAGCTCAATTGAAGAGCATTCTGAAGATGCTCAAATGAAGAACGCACAGAAACCACCATGCAATTCTAGTCATCAATTTGGTGGTAAGCAAATAAAAGTGGAGTATCAATGGGCTGTGTCCCTGAATTCCCGAGGTAGGGGAGGAGTACATGTACAAAAATACACACTCCACAACTTGACAACTTTTTGAAGCTGTTGTAAGATATACAATCACGCATCCCTGTAAGCAGTCACGGTTGAGACGGTCACGCTTACGTCGTATCGAGGCGACCTGGAAGCGGCTTCCTTGGCAGCTTTGGTTGGGCCATTGGGTCGAGAGGCTTGGGCCTTTGGCTGGGCCATTGCGTTTGAGTACGGAGTTTTGGTGCCGTGCCAGGCCGCATTGAGCTCCGCTCGCATGCGGGAGGTTGAGGAATGGATTTGGAAAGCTGAGGCTGTGGTTATCCAAAGTTGCTCACGTCGTGCTGGCAGAATCAAGATGTGAAGCGCACTTTCAGGTTCAATCCGGGAATTATTTGTACTATATAGATTTCATTCCCAGGATATGCTTGGTTGATGATATAATGATTATGGATGTACCCCGCCTTTCCTGGAAGAAGGCTGAGGGCGGTTTCCCCTCCCTTGCTTTCACATATCATTAGGAACATCAGTTTTCTTGAGATTTCCTGTGAATGGCCACGATTGGCCCCAGGGTTTTCTCTGTTCGTATCGTGGCGGGGAATGCCGGGGAAACGTCCCCCTACCTTTCAGACAGATCCTGGAACCGATGCTTGCCGAAACACCGAGAGAACAAGGAACATGTTAAACCCTCGCCCCTGTTCAAAAACTCGTCGACACTTGACCCGCGATAGCTGCATACAATGGAAACAAAGTAATGTAGTCCTCTGATTAATAAACGCCCCTAGAATAATGTATTGTGTTCCTGCACTGAATAATAAAGGCCCCCAGAATAATGTCTGTTTTTTTTGGCAGGGATAGTTGTAGTGGAATATGTTTAATTGTTATAGTTTACTTTTTCCCTTTTGAGTTTGCTGGGATTTGCTTACCTTACAGGCTTTTGGATGGAGATTTCTATTAAAAATTAATATTTCCATTGAGATTTGATGCTTTGCAAAGGCTGTTGGACTGTTGGATGGAGATTTCTATTCAAAATTTGAAGATGTCCATTGAGATTTGATGCTTTTGGAGGCTTTTGGATGGAGATTTCTATTAAACAATTGAAGATTTCCCTTTCTTTTCCTTTTGATTTGCTGTACTTACCTAAGCTCTTTAGTCTTTAAGCTTTCCACACGTTTCCAAAAGTCCGTGCATTCAAAAGTATTATTTGGTTTAACAGCAAAACCATCATTCAAGCAAAGGGGGTAGTCCAGCAAGCAGCTTTCTGACATTATTTAGGGGGGGCCTAGAATAATGTCTAGAGATTTCAGGCTTAAACAATATGTTGCTTTAAGTAAACTTGCATGCATTCCCTTTCTGTTCCTTTTGATTTGCTTTACTTACCTAAGCTCTTTAGTCTTTAAGCTTTCCAACCGTTTCCAAAAGTCAGTGCACGCTTTCTTTACAACATCCCTTATTCAACAGTATTGAAAAAACACACAAAATCATTCAAGCAAAGGGGGTAGTCCAGCAAGCAGCTTTCTGACATTATTTAGGGGGGGACCCTAGAATAATGTCTAGAGATTTCAGGCTTAAACCATGTTTTGCTTTAAGTAAACTTGTATTCATTCCCTTTCTTTTCCTTTTGATTTGCTTTACTTACCTAAGCTCTTTAGTTTTTAAGCTTTCCAAAAGTTTCCAAAAGTCAGTGCACACTTTCTTTACAAAACCCTTATTCAAAAGTATTGGATGGTTTGAAGGTCTTTGGATTCAGATTTCCATTGACATTTTGAAGATTTCCATTGAGATTTTATTGATGCCCTTTTATTTTAGTATTCCAGATGTCTTCAATTTGAGATTTCATTGACTCCCTTTCATGTTAATATTGCCAGAGAAGGCCAAGAATATTTTAATATGGATTCGAATTGTTTTTGTCCTTTGATTAGTGTTCTTCTACTTTTTCTTATACATTATATTGGGGGCCCCTAGTTTTTTGAGGGGGGAGGGGCCGGGGGGGGTTTGATTAATCAAGAGTCTACATTGAGTCTACATTATATCACGAAAGGTAGCCCTTTAGGGGATACCTTGAGTTTGTCTTGCGAAGCAAGTGTTGGGACGTCCGGGTCTAATAATTGATCGCTCAATTCAGACCCCCCCCCCCCCCCCCCCCCCCC